AGAGTTTATTTTCTTTACTACAAACAATAAGCACACACACTAGCAACAGAAATGAGGGAACCCAAAGATTGTCAGAAAAATATATTTCAGCAGTAACAAAAGCATGTGTAAATGTGACAACAGTTTGCTGGTGGAAGCCATGGCATTTACTTGACAGTGTATTATCACAGGTTTGTAAAAATGCATCATTACAGTTTCAACAGACGGGAGGTCCACGGCCCCAAATGCAACATGGGCAGAATCCACCAACAGCACATTCTATCAGGATAGATGCTACATGGGCAGAATCCACCAACAGCACATTCTGTCAGGATAGATGCTACATGGGCAAATCCACCAACAGCACATTCTATCAGGATAGATGCTACATGGGCAGAATCCACCAACAGCACATTCTGTCAGGATAGATGCTACATGGGCAGAATCCACATACAGCACATTCTGTCAGGATAAATGCTACATGGGCAGAATCCACAAACAGCACTTTCTGTCAGGATAAATGCTACATGGGCAGAATCCACCTACAGCACATTCTGTCAGGATAAATGCTACATGGGCAGAATTCACCTACAGCACATTCTGTCAGGACAAATGCAACATGGGCAGAATCCACCTACAGCACATTCTGTCAGGACAAATGCAACATGGGCAGAATCCACCTACAGCACATTCTGTCAGGATAAATGCAACATGGGCAGAACCAACCAACAGCACATTCTGTCAGGATAGATGCAACATGGGCAGAATTCACCTACAGCACTTTCTGTCAGGATAGATGCTACATGGGCAGAATTCACCTACAGCACTTTCTGTCAGGACAAATGCAACATGGGCAGAATCCACCAACAGCACATTCTGTCAGGATAAATGCTACATGGGCAGAATCCACCTACAGCACATTCTGTCAGGATAAATGCTACATGGGCAGAATTCACCTACAGCACATTCTGTCAGGACAAATGCAACATGGGCAGAATCCACCTACAGCACATTCTGTCAGGACAAATGCAACATGGGCAGAATCCACCTACAGCACATTCTGTCAGGATAAATGCTACATGGGCAGAATCCACCTACAGCACATTCTGTCAGGACAAATGCAACATGGGCAGAATCCACCTACAGCACATTCTGTCAGGATAAATGCAACATGGGCAGAACCAACCAACAGCACATTCTGTCAGGATAGATGCAACATGGGCAGAATTCACCTACAGCACTTTCTGTCAGGATAGATGCTACATGGGCAGAATTCACCTACAGCACATTCTGTCAGGATAAATGCTACATGGGCAGAACCAACCTACAGCACATTCTGACAGGATAAATGCAACATGGGCAGAATCCACCTACAGCACTTTCTGTCAGGACAAATGCAACATGGGCAGAATCCACATACAGCACATTCTGTCAGGATAAATGCTACATAAGCAGAATCCACCTACAGCACATTCTGTCAGAACAAAGGCAAAATGGGCAGAATCCACCTAAAGCACATTCTGTCAGGACAAATGCAACATGGGCAGAATCCACCTACAGCACATTCTGTCAGGACAAATGCAACATGGGCAGAATCCACCTACAGCACATTCTGTCAGGACAAATGCAACATGAGCAGAATCCACATACAGCACATTCTGTCAGGACAAATGCAACATGGGCAGAATCCAACTACAGCACATTCTGTCAGGACAAATGCAAAATGGGCAGAATCCACCTACAGCATACTCTGTCAGGACAAATACAACATGGGCAGAACCAACCTACAGCACATTCTGTCAGGATAAATGCAACATGGGCAGAATCCACCTACAGCACATTCTGTCATGACAAATGTAACATGGGCAGAATCTACCTAAAGCTTAATCTGTCAGGACAAATGCAACATGGGCAGAACCAACCTACAGCATATTCTGTCAGGGCAAATGCAACACGGGCAGAACTAACCTACAGCACATTCTGTCAGGACAAATGCAACATGGGCAGAATCTACCTAAAGCTTAATCTGTCAGGACAAATGCAACATGGGCAGAATCCACCTACAGCACATTCTGTCAGGACAAATGCAACATGGGCAGAATCCACCTACAGCACATTCTGTCAGGATATCCTGCAGCTTTCCACCCGGGTATTAGCTGCAATCTGCTGACAATAAAATGTCCTTTACTTCTAGAGGAACCATTACAATCCTTGACCCAATTCTGAGCTAGCTGGTCTGGGCTGTGTGGAACTAACACATGGTTATTTGCTAAAATCCTGATCATAGTTTAGGCACTGCCAGCCCAGCAAGAATCAATGTTCAGCATTCTACCATCAAACATTTTCACATCCAATTTTGTAAACTGTATATATATATAAAAAATATTTAATTTTGAAAAACCTTTCCTTTTCCACTTTTTATAATTTGTGTTTTATTCATTTAGCAATGTTTTTAATATTTAGGACCGTTTGTCTGTAACATGTTTTCCACTGTCTTAGATTTGCTGTGTTGGTTCATTTGTCACATGACTCGTTCCTTCTGTTGTAAATTCTGGTCTGTTAATACAAATATGCCAGGCTATAGTTTTGCCAGAATTAAACATTTTTAAAGGCAGGAATCATTGGAAGACTGCCCCTTAATACATGCAATGATAATCTGATAACCATCAAAGGGATAGGAAGACAATGCATTTCTTCTTCTTCTTCTTCACATCCACCGGCTCAAACTCTGATGGAAAGTTCTGGTTGGTCATCCCCCTCTTGTTCCAGAACCTGACTGCTGCTTGCACCTCCGCTTCACAGATCTAGGTGTTTTTTTTAATTTGTATGCAGACTGTTGTTTCCTTGCCTCTCAAGCAGATGCACTCCGACTTCAAAGGAAGTCTGCAGTTAGTTGATTCTTATGACATGCTTGTTGGGCAGGCAGTACGTCTATTCTTGTTTTCCCAGAATCAATAAGGGAACAATGCATTTAAAATACACAGTATGGCTTCCCCATGACCTCTGATTGTTTTTTAATTTAAAAACATGAATTTTAATACTGCTTTATATGACGACTGTTGGTGGAATTAGGGGATAGAAAAGCACAATTGTTAATAAACACACACCATTATGATCAACAATGCTATACATATGGGGAACTGCGATTAAACAAAAAATGAGACTCTTCTTCTTCAGCATTATGAGCCCTTTAAGCTCAGTGCTACAAATATCATCCGCCTCCATTTATCTCTCGGACTGGCCTTTTCTTTAAAGTTTGTAACTTGAAGTTTTTGTAAGTTTGCCTGTATTTTATCTCCCCACCCTCTTCTCGGTCTGTCACATGATCTGTTCCTATTAAGCTATTTTATGTTCACACTCTTTGTCTTTTGTGTTATTCTCTCTTTATGCCCCAACCATCATGGGCTATTGGCCATCATGATACAAGTGATCAGTTATGATGCAGACACATAATGAACAGTGAGAAGAACATTCAACACAGATCATCTTTCAGAAAGAAAACAACAGACCCTCTATCACTACAAAGCATGTCAACAAAAGCTACTAATTAGTGTACAATTAGACACATTTGACAAAAGATGTAGTATCACAGCCTAGCTGTAAACCACAATACAACGTGCCAAACCCTTTTTTCTTTTAAGTCAAACAGAAACAGTGTTAGAAAAGTGGATGTTTGCAGATGAATTCAAGTCATTAACATTAATATCGCCTCAGGCCCAGTCTGAAGCAGACACTAAATTGCTGCTTTCATAAACATTTGAAGTCATTAAATTTACATGGTAATGATTATCAACATTGTAGAGAGACTTAAATGTAAATAAGTCAAGTAACTGAAAAACAAAACAACTGGTAGTTTTATGAAGGGTTAATAATTTTCTAAGTCTCTCAAATGGATTTAAACAAAATAAAACTGGTGGTAGTTAAAAGTTCAGTCCATCATTTAACTGAAACAAGACAATAGGTATTCATTCATCCTGTAAAACCAGGACTTTAATTCTAGGAAAACAAAATATACTAGTACTCACAATGAAGTGCCTAACTGTCAATCTTGAAAAAAAAAATTTTTTTGCACTACAAAACAAAACAAGTACAGTATAAAGTTAGTCAAGAAATTCTGCAAAAGAAGATGCTTTACAATGAAAGACAAAGTAAAAACAAATTGTTAATATATTTACAAATACAAAATAAGTTATGGCATAAACAAATTATAACAAAGAAACCACAAAAAATAATTTTCACAATTTATTGCCTGGCATATTTCAATGTATCTCATCAGGTTAATACTATAGTAACAACTGATCAAGACGGAGCTAATAAATGAATTTTTACAACTGAAACACAAAATGGATCACATTTAAAAGTCACTACGTACTAGACAAAACACAGAGAAATATGCCATGAAATCTAATGTTTGTGTCTTCTTCATTCGAATTCACAATGAAGACTCACAGCTATTGAAGCAACAGCTCTATCAGTAATAGACCAACTCCTGGAAAGACATTATTCCTTGAACTTCTTTAAGTGTTGTGCGATGTACTGGACAGCCAAATCATTTATGCAAACATGAAAGAGGTTTAACAATTCTAATAACAAATATTCAGAAATAGTTTTGACATCTTTTGTATGTACATTATTGCATAGTTTAAGAGAAAAATACTTTAAATTTTTCTAGACAGCAATGTCTTGTAAATCAAAATCGCATACCCACACAGAATTATCAGAAGTCAAATGTTTAAGGTTTGGCAGATGCAAAAGCTGGATACACCAGTAGACTTGCATGACCTGTCTAATGTTGTCATAACACTGGGAATTTAGCTTGGTTAAGCATATCTATGCAATCTTTGAGGGAAACACAGAAGATACTAAAACCATGGGAACAATCAGTAGAGGTGCGTTAGAGTGGCTGCTGCATTGGAGGACTGAGTTTACAAGGGAATGTCCAATGTGCAGAAACATTGATTGTGAAAACATAACAAATGATTAGTTTATTACCAGTACAAAACAAATATGGAATAAAGAGTTTAAATATGTGGCAGTATGTTAAAATATGCTGTGTTAAAATATGCTAACAAATCAAACGCTTCCAAAATAAAATTTTCAGGAAAACCACTTCTCAAATTTTGTATCTCTTCCTCAGACCACTTATCTAAGTGTTGAATAATGAGCACTGATAATTTGCTAAAAAACAATGATTCAAGTCCTCTCATTGTGATGTGTGGACAGTATGAAATGTCCAGCTTGTTCAACACCGGAAGTCCCTGGGCTATTGAAGTAACAGCTCTGTCAGTAAGTGATCTGCAACTACAGAGGCATAACTCCTTCAGCTTCTTCAAATGCAGTGCAATGTAATGGACTGTCAAATCATCTATGGAAACACAAGTGAGGTTCAAGACTTCTAAATCCAACAAACTTACAGCAATGATTCTAACACCTAATGACCCTATACAATAACAGTTATTAAGTGATAAATACTTCAAGTTCCTGAAGCCAGCAATGTCTTGCAAATCATAGTTATCCACACATAGTGTCTTGTCCAGATTCAGGTATTGCAGCTTTGGCAGATACATCTGTGTACCATGCAACCATCTAAGCTGCCATCTACTGTTGACCATTTCTAGGCATGTGATGGATGGAGGAAGACGCTCAACTGAAACGGTGCTTGTTTTACATTCAGTAAAATTTAGAAGCTGGAGATTTGGACAGCGAATGGTGAGTTCTCTTAGCAGGGCCATAGAAACTGACGGCTTTTCGTTACTGCTGCCATCTATTTCAAAATTATTAGAATAATTTTAATGATAATGAAAATATTATATGGTGACATAAAATGTTTCTTATTTTTATTAATAATAAATTGATAACAACAACAAATAAATAAATAATCCAACAGGCTTAACTGAAGGAAATGGAAATGAGAAAGACTCCGTACTTTTACAACATCAAGTAATATAATCTTCAGATAATCATAACATACAAAAAATATGGTATTAAAGAGCTAGAGAGTATCAAAGATATAAACTTGCATGCTTAGAAGAATTTACCATAAAGGTTCAGAACATAAATATTTGGAGATTAATTAGTCCATGGAAATGCCACTGGGTAATAATGGCATCTTTGCAAAGATGAGGCAGCTCACACATCCAGTACAGCTAAGGTCAATTTGTCACCTCCCTTGGTGTATTTATTATTATAAAGTGGACACTAAATTGTTGAATGTTGAATTAAGAATCAACATCACAGCACTTGGGACACTGCCATAAGTGCTCAGTCCCCATCTTCAGCAGCAAGCAAAGAGTTCTAATTCACATGGTACCAGTAACAATCTGTTTATCCGTCTCATCCTTCTCCCGAGTCCTGAGTGTTGACCAGACCCCCTGGTAACTCCTTGCAGCGCCATTCTCCTTAGACCGTAATGATCTATCTGCGCCTCTGCACTGTTCACTCGCTCCAAAAGGGCCTCCTATAATATCTAACTTGTCATCATACATCAATTCACCACCAAGTTGTGCAGAATTACTAAATTTCACTAAATTACTTAAACATACAAAGCACTGTCAGAATAGGTAAACAGAGTTAAAGCAGAAATAACCATTTCTAACATTAACTCTTTGAGTCCCAGGGGGTTTGTCATTAGAGGCCCAAGGGGCAGTCAAGAGAGACATTAAACCGGCGCATCATGCGTTCATTGGGCCTCTAGGTAGGATGTGCTCCTTGGGACTCAAAGAGTTAAGCCTCAAAATTCCAAGAATCTATAGTGGCAAAGTGGATAGATGCTGGCCTGCTGGCCCAGAGTTTGTGGTTATAAATCTGCACAGAGTCAGACTATTTTTATAAATTGGGTACCGGGTAAATTTCTAGAAATTAATGGTAATGATGACCACATCACCAGTTGATTGTTGACTGGTCTACAAAGATATAAGTCTAGCATCATATTTTTGATATACTGGTGTTATTTACATCACTGACATAACGTAGGTCTCAAAATAACTAGGGTACTTTTTCAAATCAAACTGAAGAATGGTTATAAAAATCAGAATATGATGTATGAAGGCAAAGCGGAAGATCACAGACTCATTGATTAGGTGTTTTATAAAAGCTGCAAGATAACTGGGAGAGATACAAACTAAGCTGTTAGAAGAACACAGAATGAAATCAACAACAGATTTCACTAAAGAACAATAAATAAATGCCCTGGTACAACTATCACAGTGAGCCATTTTGAAGAAAAATAAAGAGCACAAAGCAAGAAAAGACAACCCTGGAGATGTAAAGACAAATGTATACAGGGCATCGGAGTGAGCTGAAACGATGGCATGTAGGGATATCATCAAGAAAGCTGTTTCAGGCAACCAAGGATCGTGATCTGTGGAGACATATTAGCGACTAGTTGGCAGGGCACATAATGATGATGATGATTAGAGTGAGCATAGATTTACACAGGGCACTAAACAGACTAACTGTGAGTTAAAATCCCAATCTTACCTTTATAGAAATCATTCAATTCATACAAACATGGAGATTTTTTTACTGCCGTATTTACAAACAAAAAAAAAACAATTTTAACAAAACTGAAATTAATAAACAGTTAACAATAATTTAATTAGAATTAATAGGCAGTCATACCAACGTAGGAACATTAGTTATAATAATAAAACTTTAAATTAATACAGTTACAACAGAAATAAATTAAGGCATCTACATCATGCACAAAGTGCAGATTGGTCTACAAAATATAGGTGGTCTAGCCTTATGTGCACAATATGCTTGAAGGTGTGGAAAAAGGTTTTTTTTTACTAACAACAACAACAAAAAAGGTTAAACAATTACAAAAGTATAACCTGAATCTAATTCAGCTGTAAAAATAAAATGTAAATGTAAACTGTTATAACCAGAACATGTTTTTTTTTAATAGAAAAAAAAAGTGTCAATACTTAATGCAGAGTGTGTAAACAAAAAGGGCTGGCAGTCACCACAAAGTGTCTATTACAGTAGCGCTGGAAAAAACTATGCCTAATCAAGGTAAAAACTAAAGAATACATGATTTGTGTGTATCAGTGGAATGAATTCAATTTTTGTATGTGCTTCATTATACGTTGATGGTAATGCATGTGACGAGATACAGTAAAATATTCCTGACGATAAACTGAGCAATGTACTATTTTATATTTTGTCCACATTATTTTCAAAATGTGTCAATAATATCGTTGCAGGCCATTCAAAATTTCCCTGGTTATAAGTATATAATCTGAATTTTATAAACATTTAACAACAATATAACTTGTACTCAATAAAAAGTCAGAACATTTAAAATTAGTAAACAATTATGGCAGTAAAACTTCAATGTAATAAATAATTGAACCAAAAAAAACTAAAAGTTAATAGACAACTATAACATTTTGCACTGAGCATAACAATTTGTTATAACAATATTCTGTCAATTTTTTTAAACTTTATCAACTGTTATAACAATAGGACTTTAATGTAATAAACAATTTTAGAGAAATAGAAAAGAAGAAAAGAAAAAACCTGCAGAAGCAAAGCCTCGTATTTTCAATGTTAAGAGACATTGGCAAAAATGATATCTGACAAGTTTCCACATTGTCTTCAGGTCAATAGGGAACTCCAACAGGTCAGCATGTCTCCCCAGGCATTTGTCATATAGAATTCGGTACCATTCTTTGCAAACTCTGGACATGAAACATTGCAAAATGAAACAAATTTGGGGGGACAACTTACTTACAACATACGTTTTGAGTAAAGTAAAGATCTCTATGTTGCATATTTGGGTATATTTTGCAAGCTACAAGCTTGCAAGCTGCACCTGATGGGTTTTTACCACCCATAGCATACCACCCATAGCATACCACCCATAGCATACCACCCATAGCATACCACCCATAGCATACCACCCATAGCATACCACCCATAGCATATTATGGTGTCTGTTTTAGCCTGGATTGACCTTAGAGTGAAACCCTAAGGTGAATATTGATGACTGGCTAAAAATGCTAGCCTACATTCCATTCTCCCTTTGAGGGTTCGGGGACTTTATTGTGGGGAAGACAAGAACAGATCTACTTTCTCCCCAACAAGCCTTTTGTAGGAGTTGATTAATTAGGGGCATTCTTGGATGTCCAACTGCATCTGCCTGGGAGGCAAGAAACCAATAGTCTGCATACAAAATAATCAAGACCTGTAAAATGGATGTGCACACAACACTCAGGTTCTGAAACAAGACTAAAGTGCGGAGGTGGATGAATAACTAAAACTTCCCACTGCAGTTCACAGCCGGTGACCAAGAAGAAGAAGAAGAGGAAGCAGAAGAAGAGAAGAAGAAGAAGAAGAAGAAGAAGAAGAAAGAAGAAGAAGAAGAAGAAGAAGAAGAAGAAGAAGAAGAAGAAGAAGAAAGAAGAAGAAGAAGAAGAAGAAGAAGAAGAAGAAGAAGAAGAAGAAGAAGAAGAAGAAGAAGAAGAAGAAGAAGAAAGAAGAAGAAGAAGAAGAAAGAAGAGAAGAAGAAGAAGAAGAAGAAGAAGAAGAAGAAGAAGAAGAAAGAAGAAGAAGAAGAAAGAAGAAGAAGAAGAAGAAGAAGAAGAAGAAAGAAGAAGAAGAAGAAGAAGAAGAAGAAGAAAGAAGAAGAAGAAGAAGAAGAAGAAGAAGAAGAAGAAGAAGAAGAAGAAGAAGAAGAGAAGAAGAAGAAGAAGAAGAAGAAGAAGAAGAAGAAGAAGAAGAAGAAGAAGAAGAAGAAGAAGAAGAAGAAGAAGAAGAAGAAGAAGAAGAAGAAGAAGAAGAAGAAGAAGAAGAAGAAGAAGAAGAAGAAGAAGAAGAAGAAGAAGAAGAAGAAGAAGAAGAAGAAGAAGAAGAAGAAGAAGAAGAAAGAAGAAGAAGAAGAAGAAGAAGAAAGAAGAAGAAGAAGAAGAAGAAGAAGAAGAAGAAGAAGAAGAAGAAGAAGAAGAAGAAGAAGAAAGAAAGAAGAAGAAGAAGAAGAAGAAGAAGAAGAAGAAGAAGAAGAAGAAGAAGAAGAAGAAGAAGAAGAAGAAGAAGAAGAAGAAGAAGAAGAAGAAGAAGAAGAAGAAGAAGAAGAAGAAGAAGAAGAAGAAGAAGAAGAAGAAGAAGAAGAAGAAGAAGAAGAAGAAGAAGAAGAAGAAGAAGAAGAAGAAGAAGAAGAAGAAGAAGAAGAAGAAGAAGAAGAAGAAGAAGAAGAAAGAAGAAGAAGAAGAAGAAGAAGAAGAAGAAGAAGAAGAAGAAGAAGAAGAAGAAGAAGAAGAAGAAGAAGAAGAAGAAGAAGAAGAAGAAGAAGAAGAAGAAGAAGAAGAAGAAGAAGAAGAAGAAGAAGAAGAAGAAGAAGAAGAAGAAGAAGAAGAAGAAGAAGAAGAAAGAAGAAGAAGAAGAAGAAGAAGAAGAAGAAGAAGAAGAAGAAGAGAAGAAGAAGAAGAAGAAGAAGAAGAAGAAGAAGAAGAAGAAGAAGAAGAAGAAGAAGAAGAAGAAGAAGAAGAAGAAGAAGAAGAAGAAGAAGAAGAAGAAGAAGAAGAAGAAGAAGAAGAAGAAGAAGAAGAAGAAGAAGAAGAAGAAGAAGAAGAAGAAGAAGAAGAAGAAGAAGAAGAAGAAGAAGAAGAAGAAGAAGAAGAAGAAGAAGAAGAAGAAGAAGAAGAAGAAGAAGAAAGAAGAAGAAGAAGAAGAAGAAGAAGAAGAAGAAGAAGAAGAAGAAGAAGAAGAAGAAGAAGAAGAAGAAGAAGAAGAAGAAGAAGACACCAAATGCACTGCACAGAATAAAATGGAATGAATGTTTAGACTGTGAGCCTAGTGTAACCTTCAATGGCAAAACAAGATAATGAATGAATGACTTTGGAGTTCAGGTCAGTTTTAAAAACAAAATTTCTGTAAGGGAGGAGTCCAATCACATGACCACCAGGCCAGCAAGATATGTGCCACCTATTGCCCCAACATGGCTTTCATAATATACACCACGCCCCACTATAATGCTTGCTTCCCTTGTTTGAGCATTGGTTTATCACTGCACAGATTTCTGATTCAGTCCTCAGATATTGACAGTAATGAAATAATAAAGTCAGTTTCTACTTGCATCCTTTTGATATTTTCTCCAAGGTATGATGATGTGTTGGGAAATAAATAGATAATTGACTGGAGATGCACCACTTGGCGGTAAACTGATGCATGACAAGCCAGCGGTTGTAAGGGCCCTTTGGGAGTTAGTAAACAGTGCTGACGCACAAAAAGTTCATTAGGTCTGACGAGAATGGTGCATAGAACAGATGAGATGGACATACAATCAGACAGCTACTGGTACCATAGGAATTTGATTGTTATGCTGGCTGTTGAAGAGGAGGACGGAGCACTTATTGGTAATTTTCTGAGTGCTGAAATGTCAGTTTTCAGCTCAACTCCATGTCATGGGGTGTTGGTCATGCGGCAGTCCACAGATTCTTTCAAATAAGCTGCAGATTATTTCTGATAAAAGACCCCCGGCCCCCCACCAACAATTTTTCTTTTCTTTCTGCCGTACCATGATGTCAAAGTGTCCAACATCTACTATTTTGTTATCCCTTTACTCTCTTCTTCCCTCCAGCTTTCATGTTGTCATAAAATACTCCAGTGTGTCCCTTCTCGTGTTCCCAAATAATTCTGATTGTCTCTTTCTGATAAATAGTTAGTAAAATTCCTTCAAAATATTTTCATTACACAGTTGTAATCTGTCCTTAGTATTCCCATCATCTTTCTTTAAAACTATATCTCTGCAGCTTCCACATCATTTATCTGCTGACTGTCCATAATTAACTTACATACAATAGGATACATTCTATATAACTCTTAAGAACTCTTTCTCACCTCCACTGACAAAGATATTTTGCATAGATTATTTGTCACCTAGTGAATTTGCTGCTTTTGCTTGAGGTAATCTATATTTTGGCTTCCATGATTGGCTAATAAACAGCATTCTGTCTCGGAAGCTGAAATATTTCAGTCACATCAAGCGCCATGACGGATTGGAAAAAATTATAGCAGAAGGCATAGTACCAGGAAGGAGGGGCTGGGGCCGACCAACACGAAGATGGGCACAGGATATAAGTGACTCCTTAAGTATGAAAGTGCATGAGGCGGGAAAGCTGGCGAGAGACCAAGTTTTTTTTCAGGCAGACCTTGATGAGAGCGACGTTCTGCAAAAGACCTGCTAAATGATTATGATGAATCTATATTTCATGTTTTTGGCCAAACAAAATCTGTATACAAATTTTTGTTTTTTAATTTAAAATAAAAACTATCAAGAATACCCCAGGCAAGAAATTCTAAAACAAAAACAAAAAAAAAAGGATAAACTGGCAAAGGACAGAGTTGGTTTCTGTTGTTACATGATGATAGTGATGTTCTGCCCAAGACCTGCCACATGATAATGATGATGACAGACAGAGAAGTGATCACATTACCTGTTAGAGTTATGACTAAGAATATCTATCTGAACAATTGGCATTTCACATCTTTACAGTAGTTTGAAACAGGAAGGATTTTTTTTTTTTTAAACTTAAGGCATGAAATTAGTATTGTGACTGCTAGTGTCAAACGTTATATTTTTGGGGTTTTATGAAAATTTACAGCAGGATAGTAAATTAATTATATTTTACTAGTCAAGGTAGGTAGGTAGCTGTACCCCACCAGGACATCACACAAGAGATAAACACCCAATGACACAAATTGCCACCATGCGGATGAGAATCATCAGTGAAGAGGTCCCAGAATCCCCTTTCAGTCGTTAGGTCATATCTATGCCTGGGCTATATTCAGGACCCCCGGCAAAAGCCAGGGTGGGGCTTCAAATAACAAAAAAGCTGCATCCCACATGGGGACAACAGACAGCATTCTTGGCAAGCTTCATAGATAGTCTCTGCCTTGGATTTCCCATGTTTAAGGGACATGATGTTTTGACTAGTAAATTCTTATGCTGTCTGGCAAAAGCCAGGGTGGGGCTTCAAATAACAAAAAAAGCTGTGGGATGCAGCTTTTTTTGTTAGGCCCCACCCTGGCTTTGACGGGCGCCTGAATATCGAGGCCCCTAACGACACATCAGTGAAGAGGTCCCAGAATCCCCTTTCAGTCGTTAGGCCATATCTATGCCTCGGCTATATTCAGGGCCCCCGGCAAAAGCCAGGGTGGGGCTTCAAATAACAAAAAAGCTGCATCCCACATGGGGACAACAAACAGCATAAGAATTTACTAGTCAAAACATCATGTCCCTTAAACATGGGAAATCCAAGGCAGAAGACTATCTATGAAGCTTGCCAAGAACTCAAAACGTTGCAAGACACAGCCATTCTCCAATAAGGATGATAGACAATCAGAGTCTTACATACAATCTTTGCTTGGAAAGTTTTACATACCTGCTTGCAGTTTTCTTACCAAGATTGGTTGATTGAACTAAGAAACCATAAAAATTATTAAAAGCAAGGACACAGGATACTCCAATTCAATTAGCTCTGTCTTTATCTTTAGCAGCCAGCAAAGTTCTAATGATACTACTAATTGCAATAGTAATATATGATCATCTTGTCTTTGCTCTGGTGGTTGCGGGCCTCGTAGCGAAATTATAAAAAGTTTATAAATTTCTCCTTTTAATTGTACTAGTTTTATTTTAATAATGTCTCACCTCCGCGCCCGACAGCGATCTCGCATTGGTAGATATTGCATTATTTCCATAAGAATTTTTTCATCTGGTAGCTTTGCAAAGCTCATTGTGCCAGAAGTTTGACCAATTGAAGCATGTATGAAGTATAATACTTATAGTGTGTTCAGCATAATAAGGCAGCACACACACACAAAACCGAGCTGATAATTTAAGTTCTTGGCTGTTTACAGGTAAACATTGCAATATATCATTGTACCTGACAACAGTTAAGATACCTCACCTGTTTGAAAAGTTCGTTTTGTTGTTGCAATTCCGGTTATAATTTTGATGAAATCAGTTTATTCATTCATAATTTCCCAGTTGGTTAGTTAGTGGACAGATTTTCATCATCGCACCATTCACCATCAAGTCCTCAAGTGTTCAGATCCCCTCTTCAGTATCTCCGAAATCGTGTAGTGGCTAATGACAAGAGTTCTGTGTTGGTGTACTATTCTTATTTGAGGCCCTTTGTAGCGCTCTTTATTAACAGTAATCCCCTTGGTGACACAATGGTGACACAATGAAAGAAATTAAACGGCGACTATCAATTGCTCTTCAAACACTAAAACAACTGAATAAATTATGGAATTGTACAGATAGAATTACAAAGGTCAGATTTTTAAGAGCATGCATCTTTCCCATTGCAACATACGCCTGTGAGACCTGGACACTTACTAAACAAGCGGAACAGCGCATAAATGCATTTGAATATAAATGTTACAGACAGGTTCTAAGAATATCTTGGGTAAAGAAAAGAACAAATGCATCCATACTTCAAGAGCTGAATATTGAAGAGGGTTGGCTAGTAAAGACAATAAAACAAAGAAAATTGAAATATTTTGGTCACTTGAAACGTCATGGAAGTCTAGAGAGAACAATAATGGAGGGGTATATGCCTGGGAAGAGAGGAAGAGGAAGGCCAAGGAGAAGATGGGTGCAGGATGTGGCAGATGATCTCCAGATGGGTGTATCAGACGCAGGACATCTTGCTCATGATAGGAAGGTTTTCCGGAGGGTTGTTATGGCAGCGAGGTTCCGCGAGGGACATGCTACTGAATGAATGAATGAATGAATCCCCTTGTGGTATAGCCCGGTCATAAATTTGGCCTAATGGCTGAACGCAAATTCCGGGACCTCTCCACGGGTGATCCTTATCCACATGGTGGCACTTTGTGTCATCGGGTCGCTTGTGTGATGTCCTGGTGGGGTACAATGTACTACTACTACTACTACTACTACTACTACTACTACTACTACTACTACTACTACTACTACTACTACTACTACTACTACTACTACTACTACTACTACTACTACTACTACTACTACTAGCGCTCTTGTCTGGCTTCACCCCTTTTGATGTTATGTTTGTGTAGTCTCGTCAGTGGCGCAGATTCACAATCATTACTTTATTCGTTTGATGGAGCAGCCTCTCTAAAGGCGTTCAGTATATCAGCCCTGTCCATTGATCGTCTGTTTCCAACGTGAGCTTCACCTGCAAGTATGTCAACTCGTTCATAGCCCTTTACACCAGAATACTCCGGGAAAAATATGAAGCTGGTTTTTTTTTCAGCCTTGATCTTCTATTAAAGGGACTCCACCCATTGTCTGCGTACGCAACCCTTCTCGATCTTCTTGAGCATATTCATTGAGTCGCTGAGAAAGCATGCCAGGGTAAACGTCTATGTTTCTAGCCAGGCTTTTGCTTTAGTTGCTGCCATGACCTCCACAGTTAGACCAGTTGATTTATGTATGCGGATCCCTAGTTTGGCGAGGTAGACAGCAGACTATTAAATATTAACCCCTCAAAAAATGTGTTGGAGTAAATATCCAGTATTTGAACAAAGGATATCGCTATATCCCAATTATAACTCAGATAGGTTGAAGGAAATGGTTGTTCATACTACTGCTACTGCTGCAGCTGCTGCTGCTACTACTACTACTACTACTACTACTACTACTACTACTACTACTACTACTGCTTCTACTACTACTACTACTACTGCTACTGCTGCTCCTACTACTACTACTACATATAAGAGACTTGTGAAGAACGTATACTGGATACAGTCTAAACTATAATAACCATCTGACGTGTATTGTGCATACAAAATTATAACAATGTAGATCATTATTTGCCAATAAATAGAGCTGTATGACAGAGATGTAGAATGTCCGGAAACATTTTTTCTTAATATAATGAAAATTTTTTTTTTTAAATGTGTGGGGGGAGGGAAAGGGTCATGAACTAGCAATTGAGCATATGAAACTGAACGCCAAGAAGATGAATAATATACATGGCACTTGATCTTGAGGATGCCTACAATAGAGTCAGATATGATATTTTGATATCTGCACTCATGGAGAAGGGAGTTTGTCACTGGCTTGTGAAATAAATAGAGGTTGTCCCGCATAAACGTGTAGTTGCCCTTCGCCTGGGTACATGGACCTCAGAATCATGTAACATCGCCAGGACTACTCCAGAGTTCTGCAATTTCAAAAATGTTTCTTCAATGTATAAGCAAGATTGCAGAGCTTGAAGCACTAGGTATTGGAAGGATAATGACATTTGCTGATGATGTTCTTGCATATAGGCAGGGGAGTAGTAGGCCACGGATAGCTCATGAGCTACAGGCAGCTGTTAGACAAAGTGACTAACTGGTGTGCAGAAATGGGTGCTGTCATAAACTCAGAAAAGGCGGCTGTTTTGTGGTGCTCTCTGGACAATAGAATTTAAGATGTAATGTTTCAAGCCTCACAATTAAAAACAGTCACATCAAAAGAGAAAGCAAACTGAGGTACCTGGGTATCACTTTCGATAGAAGCCTGTCCTATAGGGATCACGTGGAAGCAGTTGTGGTGAAATGCTAAAAAGGACTCTATGCTCTCAAGATTGTGGCAGCAATGAACATGGAACAAATAATGCTGTTCACGATGTTCCAGCATGTGATCCTGTCGGCGATAGATTACGGACTAGAAAGAGACCGAGCTATTTCGCAACTTTTCTTTACATAGCGTCTTTAATCATGAGATGATGACAGCACATGACGAATCCACTCTACTATTCAAAATACGGATTCCTTGGGTTTTCGCATGCATTACCCCTGAAGGCGAGAAATGTGATGTTTTGCAGACTTCACCTAGAGCCATTTGCTGCAAACATGCTAACTGTTAAAAATAGGTATCTGGTTTTTTTTTTAATACTTTTTATATACTGCAAACAAGTCAAAATAAAAACTACATGTTTGTTTACATTATAATTTTGTTCCTACAAGGACATGATTATTAATGGATTGTATCAAATTTCCAAAATTGACACCGAACGATTACTAAGTTACAGATTTTTAAAGTTAGGCGCGGTTTTTAGAACAGACTATAATCGTCTCCTAGTTAAGGTAAGCAAACCAATTTCATTTTCATGAAGAAGAGTACCGAGGATACGCGCTTCATTGTTCCCCAAAGGTTTTCTAATTTAAATTTTTTTTAAACAGTGAACTTTCTTTTCTTACAAACTTTTTGTTAGCCTTCTCATTGCTGAAGCCACATTACCTATCCTGGTGTTGATTTTTTTGGGTCGAGGTATAGAGTTATAGACTGTTATGGCTGAAGGTCCAAAGTACATATGTGAAATTGTCAACTGTCTCCTGCCCTTTAGCGTCAGTGAAAATTGCAGGTCTTTCCTTAGCACCCTACATCATTTTTGTTAACCCAAATTCACAAGAGGCATCAAGGAATGCAGATAGTAGAAGTTGCAGCTCTTTCTCAGAGTAAAACATATATATTAGCTAGTCTTTCCTCTTGGGCGTAGGGCAGCGCACAGGACAGAGGTCATAGCTCTTAGTGTCTGGCTGTTCGTTGCCACCTGTTTTAGGTCTTGGGCGTTCATTAGGTCCATGGTCAAGCCTTACCTGACGATGGTTCTACGCAGGGTCTCTCTTTGTCTCCCCTGTTTTCTTTTTCCCTTCCGGTGTCCATATGATGGCTTGATTGGGGAGTCTGGTCTTATCCATTTTGAGAGCATGACCGATGTTGTTCCAACGGTGCTTTCTTATATAAGTTGGATTCACTGTCTTGCTTGGTTTCTTGTCTATTTACATATTGGATCTGAAATCTGTCCAGCAGAGATTTAGTATTCGACATCTGTTCTCAAAGTTATCTAATTTTTTTTTTTTTTTTTTTTTTATGGAGCTACCGTTGCTTCCAACTCTCGTACCCATAAATAAGCACTGGCATCACACAAGAGTTGAAAATCTGAAGTTTTGTGTGTTTGCTGAGTGTCTTTGACTTCCAGATGTTTGACAGTTTGTTAAAGGTACTAGATGCCAGTGGGATTCTAGATGACATTTTTTGACGTTAAATCCCCTAAAGATGTCATCTTACTCTCTAGGTATGTAAAGCTGTTGATTTTTTCCAGAATGTGATTGTTTAGTTTGATGTCGTCTGAACTATTGGTAAGATCAATGTTTTTCGTTTTTTCCCGTGTTAATCTAAAGACCAATTTGTCTTGAAACATTTTAGAGATGGTCTGGGTTTTCTCGGATATCTGGGTAGGTTGAACTCAAAAGCACTATGTCGTCAGCACAGTCAAGATCTAGAATTTTGCCAACTCATTTGATACTCATATTTGTGTTTGTGCATTTTCGCACGACCCAATTGATTGCCATTCCACAGAGCGATAGTACACAGCCTTGTTTTACTCCTGTTTCCACTGGGAACCAGTCAAGAGTTGCCCGATTCAGTTCTTATACTGCAACGTGTTTCATCGTAGAAAGATTTTATGACGTTGACGAATGTTGGTAGGGAAACTATAGTAGTTTAGGACTGTGGATACTGTCGAAGGCTTTTTAAAATTCGACAAAGTTGATTAATTGCGACTGAAACTCTATGGATTTTTCAATGATTACTCCGAGGGTGTTGATGTGGTCTACGCATGCCCGTTTTGGTCTGAAGCCTGTTTGTTCTCTTAGCTTTTCATCCCTCAAGTAACATGCAGTTATTACAACCAGACAAATCAAATAAGATATTCTCATCTGCTGCTTTAGCATTTCTCTTGAAATGTCATCAGCAC